TGCGAAGTTATGGCGGCTTTTTCTTCACCCCAAGTCAACCCTCATCCGTGAATACTCACCCAGGAAAACGTCTCAAAAACCCTGAGTTATCCAGACATTCCTCCGTCATCTTTCAACTTTTCTCCACGCGAAATGTAATCTGAGATGTCTCCTTCCCAAGTGGAGTAGGTGCCCAGGCTACTCAAACTGTACCAGAGAACATCACCAGGAGGCAGACCACAACACCTTCCATCGTTGGCTTGTTTTTATAGTATTAGCTGCACTCTCGCAAGCGAAGTCTTAGCGCGCACAAATCTCAATTTGTAAAACTCTTGCCAAAATTCAGACTTTGACGCCCTTCGAGGTTATACCCTTCCTTTGCATCATCTTATGAACTTGCCGTGATCCCTCTCACGTCCATCCCAAAGAGCTATCTACCAGATTTGTGCTCCACGCTTTGCTTACTCCGTCGGGTATAAATACCGGCGTGGGCGTGTATTTGGTGGTCAACTGAGGCCAGAGAAAGTCGACGAGAGGTATGGTCATTGGGATGAGGATGTAATAGGTCGTACTTGTAGACTTGAAGAGGCTTTGATGGGGATTAATCTCTCTGGGACCGAAAAAACGACATGGTGGAGTAATTTGAATCATTGCTTCGTGGGCCAGCTTCTTTGATATCGCGTGTGATTTTTTTCATATGGCTGGGATTGTTGGTCATTGCTTCAAAGGATCGATGTCGGGCTTGTCTCTAGATTTCTCCTCTACCAGTTGACCACTTCGGGCAGGACCTTTTTATTTTTAGTTTTATTACCATTGGTCCTAAGCTAACGCTATCTTTTCCACATTGGGTCAAGGACCGGTGGAGCCGGCAAGGATCACTGCGTACAGGCCCAACTCATTCCAACCGCATGAACCTCTACTGAAATTGTAGAAGTTAACAGCAAAACTAAAATCAAAAACATAAATCAAGAACTGAAATCAAATTTGGAAGAAATACTGTCTGGTCCGGATCCCGCGCTTCTCGCCCGTTCCCTTTCCTTAGGGCAGGACATGATCATGTGCTTGGGATTTTGTGATTGGTAGCCACACGGACAACTTGGCTGATAAACTCCTGGTACTTTTCATCTATGTAAATAAGAATTGAGCCCGATATGCTCGCTTCGAATTTGGATTGCTAAGCTACTTTGGGCCCTCGTCAGGCTTTTGTGGAAGAAGATGGTGACTCGCGTAAGCTTATTTTAGTAGGTCCAGAATGGCGGCATGGGTAGAACCTTGCTGCTGCCCAAGTTTTAGGATCTGTTGAATCAAATCTTTTAGGCTGTCGAGTTCGCTTTGTTGCGGTCCAAGATTTCGCCCATTCCAGGTACGCTGCAACCCTTACCGCTTCTTTTTGTAAGTCCTTGAATTTCTCCTCTCCGCAAATCTCTTTCCAGTATGCAAGGTCTGCTCTTCCATTGTGTGCTCTAATATCTTCCCTTTCTCTTCTGGGAAACTTTATTTTACTACATGCTGTTTGGATAGCTTTTTGGAATGAGATATCCTTTGTAGCCACCAGGAATATCGTTCCGCAATTCTAATTGTTGTAATTAAGGCAGCAACATTACTGCAGTAGACAAAAAGTACACATTAGAATAATATGCACTGGCGCCATGAGATATGATTAACCCACATCATCACTCATTGGCATGAATAGTAATTAGCCAATAGATGTTTGACGGCATACATTGGCTTCAGGATCTTCAACAACCTTCCCATTTAGGCTGGGAAGGTAGTATGTTGGAGCTCACACTAGTGTGCAGAAACCCTCACTTTCGTATACATTGAAGAACTTCTTGCCACACATGTAGAATTACAGCAATTTAATCACAATTAACTATCCACTGAACATCATTAAACATCTACGTGTGGTAAACACATTCATCATATCTCTAAATTAACCCTAAGGCTAGTATGTAACTCTCCCAATATCCGGAACTATTTCAATTCTTCTGAAATGATTGATCATATCGACTACACGCGTTATGATTCCTCATAATTTAACATATTATAACAGTGGTGTATGGTCATTTAGCTCAGTAGTTATTACAGACCTAGGGCCTCGTAGGGTAAGGGTAGGACTTTTCCAATTGCGTTAGTGTGGATGTCAACGTGACCCCTTTGAATTGTTGAGTCAGAGGTGATTTACTGATAGGCCCCCTTAGAAGTATGGGTCTGAATGACAACTAAATTGCTGGGAAAATAGGACATGGCGCAAGGCGCTTGCGTTTAGAAACATTGTATTATTTTTCCTTATCTTTCTATTTTAATTGTTCTTATGGGAGACAAAGCCTTGCACGTAGGTGGTAGTGAGTCCGTCGAGATCACATAACTGTACCACGCCTCATGGGTGTAGGTCGTATGCCTGATACGAATAGCATTCGAATTAAATTAGAAGTGACTTTCGTAAGACCTAGCGGGTACTCATTTGTGTAGCTCATGTAGTTTTTTCGTTATACAGAATATGAATAATTATATTTGGAATCACCTGTGCGAATAGCTATCATGATCAGCCTTTTCACAGTATTTCCTATTACCTTCTGAAGGTGTCTGGAATGATAGAAGTGAACGTTGACCGTCAAGTCAACACAACAGGCATTGTAAGATATTTGTGATTTCAGGATCAGAGCTCAAAGGTTAGGGTCAATGAGATTTTGTTTTACTGAACTTATTCATCTAAAGAAAGAGTGTTGATCTACTGTTTACTATGTGTGTATGTTTAATCTCGCTTAAGAGGGCCTAAAAATAAACACCTTTCAGCGGTGTCCTACGAATCTTCAGCTTTCGGTGCAGAGCCTTGATAACATCATTCTTTCCCCATTATGATCAAACTAACCACGATTAGACCAGATATCAGGGTCGAAGCCCTTCTCATATTCCCTTTTTGTAACAGTCGAAGCCGAGTTGATCCAGTCCATTATCGCCTTATTGGGTGCTGGGTATGCTCTGGGAACTCATCGGACGGCTTCTTCTCCGTGATCAAGAATGGGTGATGAGAAGGGCTTTGACCCTACCATCTAATCTAATCGTGGTTAGTTTGATGATAATGGTTAAAAAGTGATGTTATCTAGGCTCTCCACTGAAAGTTGGAGATTCGTAGGATACCACTGAAGGGTGTTTATTTTTTGTCCTCCCTATCGATACCTTTTGGTAATTTAAGAATACGAGCACATCTAGGAATTTAGTCAGGTCTTGATGGATTTGGACCAGCGGTCTCGTATATCAAGTGATTGGTCATCCAATGTATCCATAATCCACTTGGAAGACCGGCACAGATGATGTCCCATAGCACCATCAAACCATGACGATGTTTATAGCGTCGCCTACACTCTAGCAATCGAATTCATGAATCGTACAATGCTCAGTGTGAAATCTCTCCTTCGAAACATCGTGGTACAATCTATATCGAGTTTGAGCTATCCTTTGCGTCGGGTTGACTACTTCTCCTGACTTCTCACTTATGTCTATCTCGAAAACCTGCCTCTCAGATCTTTGCGTCACTATTTGCTGCCTCCGATAGGTATTTATATTCTTATGGGCATGTACATGAGGGCCAATTTAGGCTAGAGACCAGTTTGGCGAAAGGTGTCGTTGTAGGACTTAGTATGTACTTCGTAGGAAGTTTAGACCAGATGATACTTCGGCCCATAATGGATATTGTTGAGATTGATAGATTGAGGTGGTTAGGAGTCTAGAATGATTGCTTAGCGGATTAGCTCCTGTCTTACGAAATTCGACTGAACTTGGCATGTTGATAATGTTTTATGGCCAGTTTCATAGAAGACTCTGGTAACAGGTCTTCAGTCATAATCCTCTGCGGCGACGTTTGCTTCCCGGCCAATTTCATCTTTCATCATGAGGGTGAGGTCAATTAAGTTGTGATAGGTAAACTTGATGGAGAGTAGCTGAAAAGACAAAATAATCCACGATCTAAGGCAATTCAGTTATCAGTATTCGGGCGTTTGAAGCAGACTACCTGTTGACATCAAGTAGGCTCAGCCTTATACCCGGCTATGTCGGGGATGATTGTGGATACATGTTTTCTATTTTCAATACATGCCTGAAGGGGAAAGCTATTGCGAGAACGAGTGCAAATGATGGGGATGCAACCCATCTGTCCACGGGTGCCGGCGAATGAACCATCATCATTCGCACCATGCACATGAAGTACACAACTTAGAATCCCACTTGATAACCCGACATTCGAGAGTGTTGCGAAGAATCCAAAGATTAACAACACTCTTGCCTAGGACTCTCAGCATGAATTATGCTATTATCATAGGGTGCCTTAACATGACATGCAGCATCAAAAGATGTACATCATGACACGTTTATTACCTGCCACTCCAAACGTAGCCGATGTAAAGTTTTAAAGTGATGCTAGTCAGACTCTGCATGGCCAACAGTTAAATATGTTGGAGTACCAATCGTACACGAAGATCCTATTCTTCGATATCAGACATGTAGTTTATTTTCAACGCAGCTTTAAATTTACATGCATACGAGAACATCAAAGCATGTTAACCAAGAAGGGATGAATATTCTGTCAGGACCTGAATCATCCGTGCAAAATAAACTAGTCACAAGGTGGCACTTTCAATTTTCCCGTGTGCGACAATTATCTTGACTCTCTCTTAACCTGCCTGACATAGAGATTATCCACCCGCGACTCAAACATTAGTAAACCCTTGAGACTGGGAGAAGGCCGCCAGGAGTCAGGTCTCATCATCAACTCCTCATCCTTAACGAGCACCACTCACATCGCAAACCAATTTCGCCCATATCACACCTCTTTAACCTTTGTCACAACGAAAGACTTGTGAACAACTATTGACAGTCCAAATTACAACAAGAGGTTCCCTGAATATCACTGATTCCAATATCTGCTTGTCTATCTTAAACATACGATATCCACTTTCATTAAGAGTACTCTCACACACATCCTACGGAAATAAATTTACAGCTAGCCACTACACAATCATTATATGGCTCCCGAAGTTTCAAAAAGGAAGGTCTTGAGGACTTTGAGCAATAGGTACATATGCCGAACTATCGTGAGTGGCTCTTGTAGTCTATGACACGACTTCCTTTCGGTCGCAATTTCTAGAAATAAAACGCTAATATGTAATACATTTTGACAAACAGCCTTTACTGCATACCATTATTCTTCTCATTGAAATGGGAATCGTAGCAAGAATAGTGTACAAATTCAATAGCTACTATGCCGATCGCCCAAGTAAGAATATTTCGGTATAATATCTCATCATATTCAGGTCCTAACAACATCACAGTCCTCACCATGATGATTACAAACGCGATCCTCAGTGGTATCGCTGATACTGTGGCTCAGTCTATAAGTGCCATACGCCTGCGGATAACTAGTGGCAGTACTTCAAATCAAATACCGCTGGCTATAGAGATTCACGAGCTTGATCAAAAGAATTCCCCAACGCTACAAGAGATGAGCTCTGATGCAAAGTCGCAATTACCTTCATTTGACTTTGAGCGTCTCTCTCGATTCATGGCTTATGGCTGCATGATGGCCCCGATTCAGTTCAAATGGTTCAAATTTTTGTCCAAATCCTTCCCTATCACTAAACAAAACGGGCTAGAGTCGGCCTTGAAAATGATGGCATTAGACCAGCTTATCTTTGCACCCGCTGGTAACTCGCTCGCAAAAATCTGATTCTGCAAAGAAAGCTGACTTCGCTCAGGCATTGCGACTTTTTTTACAGTTATGACCATCGCTGAAGGGGGTGGCCGTCGGGCTGTCTCGACTAAGTTAAGAGATATGTACCTTCCAACTCTCAAGGCCAACTTTGTTGTCTGGCCTCTGGTGCAAATGGTTAACTTCAGGCTCATGCCTCTTCAATTTCAACTTGTAAGTCATCTCAGATAGTCATCTGGTATCGAAGTTGACGTTTCTTGTCCGCACACAGCCCTTTGTCTCAACCATAAGTATCGCATGGACTGTATATCTCTCGCTCTCAAATGCCTCCGAAGACGCTGATGTCCGATCAACACCACAATCACCGAACTTTAGATTGCAGTAAAATCATTTGTTCTATTTCTCGGCTTCGACGCCAATTGCTTATGCCAAGTCTTAGGGTAAATTCAAAGGAATTGTAGCCAATTTAACAGTTGATTCGGGTAATTCACGGGGTTAGAAAAATGGAGTTCAGGTCTAGGGAATCTGTGGCACATGGGAAGATTCAATCTTTCAACTCATGATGGACATTTTTAGTTCCAGAAACAACTCACGTATAAACAAACATGAGCTGCTCTCAACGGCTAAGTGACTACGAGTGTTGAAGTTCGGCTTCTCTTTTCCTAAGCAGAATAGAACTTGTCTTAATAAACGTTATTATGACCAATATCAGCTTAAGTATGGACTATGGTTTACAAGGTCTTAAGTGATAGGCTGCAAATTCTAAACAACAAGGGTAGCCCCAATTTGCGGTTTTCATATCATCATTAGGAAATTTAGGAGTTTATCCGAGAATGCTTGTTGCGCCTTACAATGATATCACTATCGCACACACGCACTTATCATTAGCACTAATCATTTTTTCTAGACCTCGGAAAGAAGTTTAAAGATTTTTATCACAAGGTAAAAGACCTCATCTGCTAGTGCAATTGAGGTTCCTCATTTAAAATGTTCTGAGATGTATGAATCACTGAGTTTTTACTCTACTAATAGCTATGAGAGCTCTGTGCATACAAAACATAGCTGTCACACTCTTTGATGCCTTTGACCCTGGCTTGCTGGTCCAATTTGGGTGGTGCATTGTTAATCGTTTGAGACAAGGTTTCACGGTAGCGTTTTAGCACAGAAGGTCCCTGCTTGATCAAGAAGCTCTACCTACAACGACAATTTCTCAAGAGAATTTGCCCGCAGTGGCTGTTACAAGGGGGGCTCGAGCATGGCAATTGCACCATTACACAAAACACTAAAGATTAGCGATACCCACGCGTTACGACATCTCCGGCCAAGTGAATAACTGTCCACTTTTTCAGCGGCCGAGCTGCATTGTCGAAGTTCTTGCTAGATGCATAGCGTTGGTAAAGAAACTTTTAGATCTTAGACTGTATTGCCTTGCGACAAACGCTACCACAGGCGCAAGTTCATAGAGCCTCCTAGGGTTTGAGCGGAAGTATATCTTCGTATCCTTGGCCGCTATCGCTATCCATGATATAAATGCCTAAAATAAATAACGCGCTAGATACGTAACACGTCATAAGGCCCGAATATATTAGTAGACTAGTGCTATGAGGGAGGGGTTAAGTATTTTCAAGGCTTGAACTCATAGCCTATTACTTTTCCCCAATCTGCTTTGTTATCCTGAGAAAGTAAACCTCATCTATCCATTACGAAAATGTCACTCTCAAACAAACTTTCTATTACTGATGTCGACCTTAAGGGCAAGCGGGTCTTGATAAGGGAAAGTCAAATCCTCTAAAATAGGTCTACTGAACTAATTGAAGTTGTACTACTACAGGTGGATTTTAATGTACCCTTAGACTCTGCGCTCAAAGTCACTAACACACAACGAATTGCCGGAGCTACTCCCACCATAAAGTATGCCATAGAAAATGGATGCAAATCGGTAATTCTAATGTCACACCTCGGACGCCCTGATGGCAAGGTACAGCCAAAATACTCACTTAAACCTGTTGTGCCAGAGTTGGAAGCCCTCCTTGGTAGAAGCGTTGAATTTGCGTCTGACTGTGTCGGCCCCGAGGTTGAAGATATAGTTAATAAGGCCACAGGGGGACAGGTTGTCCTCCTTGAAAACCTACGCTTTCATGCTGAAGAGGAGGGGAGTAGCAAGGACGCGGATGGAAATAAAGTAAAAGCAGACAAGGCAGATGTCGAAAAGTTTCGCAAAGGACTGACAGCTCTAGGAGATGTGTTCATCAGTAAGATACAAAGAAACAAATTTTGTTACCTATTCCTAACTAGATTTCAGATGATGCATTTGGAACCGCACATCGGGCTCACAGTTCAATGGTTGGTGTGGACCTACCGCAGAAGGCATCTGGGTTTCTCATGAAGAAAGAGTTAGATTATTTCGCCAAAGCTCTAGAGAAACCTGAACGGCCTTTCTTAGCTATCTTGGGAGGAGCAAAGGTTTCGGATAAAATCAAATTAATCGATAACCTCCTTGGCAAAGTTGATAGCCTCATTATATGTGGGGGAATGGCCTTTACATTTAAGAAGACCTTAGAAAACGTCAACATTGGAGATAGTCTATTTGACAAGGCTGGTAGTGAAACTGTTGGTGCGCTGGTGGAAAAGGCCAAAAAGAATAAAGTAAAGATCGTCCTACCTGTTGATTATATCACAGCAGACAAGTTTGCAAAAGACGCCAAAACAGCAACAGCAACAGATGAGGAGGGCATACCAGATGGCTGGATGGGTCTCGACTGCGGAAAAAAAAGCATTGAACTATATAAAGCAGCTATTGGAGAAGCATCTACAATTCTCTGGAACGGTCCTCCAGGAGTTTTTGAATTTGATGCCTTTGCAAACGGTACAAAAGAAACTCTAGATGCAGCGGTCGAAGCCGCTCAGCAAGGAAAGATTGTGATCATAGGTGGAGGTGACACTGCAACTGTTGCTGCCAAGTATAAGGTTGAGGATAAACTCAGCCATGTTTCCACAGGCGGTGGCGCGTCACTTGAATTATTAGAAGGTAAAGAGCTTCCAGGCGTCACTGCGCTATCGAGTACATAGAATGAAGGTTGCTGGATGGCTGCATCAAGTTTGCCAAAACAGCACTTCTTCGGTGTAACACATATCTCTTGCAGGAAGTGCTGCTTTGTATTTTCTAAATATTTTGGCAAATTGAAAGGATAACGGTTACTAAAAGATGCTGATGGCCACGTATTATCTCTCTTCCAGCTCCAAGCCTGATGTGGACGATGTGATGTCAAGACTTTTTATTTGTCTCGACTTTCTTGAGTTCTTCTCTGTAAAGAATCAGTATTTTGTAGCTGCAAGAAATTTTAGTATACTCACTTTAGTTGTGCAGAAAAGTCTTCACAAACATCGTCGTCATCCCAACTCTCCTCCCACAGATAAGTGTTGCTGCTAGGCTCAGTCTCTTCTGGGCCCCAGTCTATTCGTAACAAATGCTGTGTTAGCTCAAAACAGTCACTGCAATTTTAATAATGAGGGATCTTAAACACATACTCTCTACTGGAAAGTCCTCAAATTCGTCGTCTTCCTCCAAAACTGCAGCTGCCGGCTTGGGTTCTATTGGTGTTTCACTCTTTTCTTGTGTGATAGCTTTCGATTGGGCAGGTGTATTCTTAGAGCTTGGTAAGGCTGACATCTTCTCTAACGTAGACTGAATAATAACAAGCTGATTTACAGTTTGCGACCTGATAGTTGCATTTGCCCCGCGTGTATTCGCTTCTGTTCATGCAAGGCTTACATAGCCGTGTCGTAATCACTTGTTTAGGTTGATTAAGCTCACTTCCAATAAGTCAGCTTTGGGCATCAACACGACATCGTTCGGCTTACCATCTACTAAGTGAACAATTTTTCTTAATTAATTCAGACTTGCTCGCACGCCTCAGCCATTGGCTTAACGTCTATCCCACAACTAATTAAGATCGTTAGAAGCTGGATACTAAGTAATGCAGTATCCTCCAATGTGGTGGATCGTCTACATCTCACGTTCTATCTATAGTATCCATGCTAATCTATGTAGAACTGATCATAATGAGCCGCTGGTTCAGACGTGCGGGTAAGCCCCAGGCGCCAATGATTGCACGCATGGAAGAAGCACACCTTCAACAGGTTGAAGACGCACTACTACTATTACTCAATGACGACATTGATACAGCCGAGCAAATGCTCAAGAGTGGAGAGTCAGCCTATCATTTTGCTGGAAGAGGGATTTCGGCATTTATAGGCTCTATGCTAGGTGCGGAGGAAGATTCTCTGCAAGATGCAGCAGCTGTCCTTCAAAGCGCAGAGAATAAGGCATGGGAGGACCTGAGAAGAGCCCAGAACGAATCGACTGCCTTTAGATCCAACATATATCCAGCTGGAACAGAATACCTACTCTGCGGAATAGGTATGATTAAAGTGAAAACTACGTTGTAAATCTCACAAGTTGACAGTATCGCAATTGACTGGGGCCATCTGTGCTGTCATGAGTGGAAGTGTTGTACAAGCAGTTAGTGGCTTTACTAAACTTCGAAAAGCTTTTGTCACACTCGACAGTATTATCGAAACCGAGAAGGCCTACTCAAGTCGACCAGAATATTATGAACCTGTAGTACCGGACACAATACTTCCAAGTAATCAAAAGGCATCGAAGCATAAAGCAGCCGGCGAACAAAGTCTCAAGGATGACAGCATTGTTACTGTCCAAATCTCAGATGTAAATGGCAAAAAATTTGACCCCTTGACGGACAAAACTTACAAACTCCAGGGTTCCGACGCTAATTTGCTAAGTATCTCCTGCCCTACAGATATTTTCATACATTCGGGGGTGAGGCTTTGTTATGGTATTCTTCTAGTAGTATTTAGCATGATTGGTATTTCTTGTATGATCGCCTTTGATATCCGATACTAATCAATTTTAGAGAATCCAGTATTTGCAAAAGTACTTTATATTGTTGGATTTAAGGGAGATCGAGAGCGTGGTATCCGCTACCTTTGGCAAGCCTGCAATTCACAAAATTTTAACGGTGCAATTGCTGGTGTTTCGATTCTTATGTACTACAGTGGCCTTGTTGGGTATTGTGATATTCTTCCTACCGACTCAGGAGCAGATGATAACATATCCGGGTTCCCTCTAGCTAGATCTAAGCGTCTTCTTGCTGAGATGTGCGAACGATACCCATCTTCAAAGTTGTGGAGGCTAGAAGAAGCACGCATGCAAGGATTTGAAAGAAACCTTGCTGGCGCCATTAGAATCTTGGCGGAAAATTCAAATAGCAACATGAAACAGATTGCAATCATCAACACATTCGAGCTTTCTATGAATGCAATGTTCCACCACGACTACGACCTCATGGCAAAGAGCTGGAGGCAATGTGATAGTCTTAGTAAATGGTCACCTACCTTGTACGCTTTCCTTGCAGGGGTTGCTTACCTGGAGCTGTACCGAAACACTCGCAAGGGGGACTACGCTTCTGCTGAGAAGTTCAAAAACAAGGCAACAAATTACCTCCGGAAAGGCCCCCCATTGGCCGGTAGACAAAAGCTCATGTCTAAGCAGCTACCTTTTGATGCATACATAGTACGAAAATGCCAAAAATGGGAAGAACGTGCTAAAAACTGGGGTATTGACCTTGTCGATGCTATTGGTGTTTCGCCTTTAGGGGAAATGATCTACCTTTGGGGCGGCACTAAGAAGCAGAATCCAGATGAGCTGAAACAATCAATGAAAATTATAGCGTGGGAGAGAAGCACCTCCGCAGAAAAGAATCAAAATAATCTGGATGAGACAGCCATTCATTCTTTACTTCAAGCATCAATATTGAGGAACTTGGAGAAATACAATGAAGCAAGGGAAGTCTTAGAGAAAAATATACTCTGCTATGAAATGTTAGTATTCCAAACTTTTTGATGGTAGTCTAGGTTTTATTTTAATGGAGTCTAGGCATGATTTCAGAGGACATCTGAAAGATGATTGGACTTATCCTAATGCACTCTACGAAATGGCATGTATTGCGTGGCAGGAGAAAGACATTAAAGGCCAAGATCACAACGCCAAAACTCTGGAGTGTAGTCACTGGATAGAAAAGATACAGAAACTGAGTGATCCGTTTGTTTTGGATACACGTTTAAGTATGAAAGTAATGACAAGTGTGGCAACTCTTAAACGGCACAAGCTAATTCTAGGTATCAAATCCTGACTGATCTCAGCAAGCATAATTATGTTAAACCGGCCAGAGGATGGTTATTTATTAACGAAGCTCTATACTAGTCGTAATACTTATCGACTGTTTGATTGATAAAGAATCCCGCTCAACCCTTGATAATTTTCTGATTGGTTGCTAGAAATACATTCGGATACAGGTAGTAAAGACTGGTTTCAACATCGAGTTGTTCAGCTTTGCAACATGCGAGCTGACAGCCTCCTCTTAGGGATTAATTCAGCCACAAGGAAATAGGTGTACGTCATAAACAGCAAAAGCCTTAAACATGATGTCGTGCGTCACTCAGATGATTAAGCTGTTTCTTATTTAAAGTTTGAAGAATACAGATATGAATCGGGCGCTTTATATAGCGACTTTCCTACAAGTCTTCCTATCGCAATGTTGATGCTGTAGTGCATGGAAAGTAGTGGTCTCCGTATGATCTTGTAGACTGCATTCGTACGATGAAATTTGAGATGTTATAACAATATGCTCGTTTGATTGACGAGCATATCAACAATGTGCATTAAGCATCCTTTGTTGATCCAATTTATCACAATGAAAGAAATAGGTAAGTGCAGACGAAGTTTTGGCCTGCGATGTAGACTGGCCTAATGATGTGGGACAAACTCGAAAATCAAACAATTTCTGCTGGCGAAGACGAATATTTGACCTTCCAGCGGTGCTGGTTATACCGCTCAGCATGTCCTGTAAATATGAGATAGCCAAGAATAATCGTATGCGGAGGGATGTTGAAAGCAGATACAAGCACACCTGTAATTAGCGACTTCCCACCAATGTCCGGTCTGGAATTTTCACTCAGGCCATCCAACACAATCACACTACAATCCAACTCGCCCGAACGACTGATAAAGTAACTGCATAAATTGCAAATAAGAATTTGCCTCATTTATCGCTTAACACTCACCTTTCCCAAGTTTACGACGCTGCTTATAATGGCAAGGAGGAAATTAAGTCATAGTATATAAAGTTCGAAGTCTTGGGTTATGGGGAGCTGTACACTGATGGATCCATAAAAATTCAAGGATGACAGGTAGCGGGGATGTGGGACGAAAGAGGGAAGAGGTCACCAACGGGTATAATAGGACTGATATATTCAAAGTTTTGTAGACTTTGGAATGTTTGTGGTTGTCAAGACCGAGATTTCGGGTAATTAGACAGGACTTACATTACCAATAAGTCTAAATTACTCTCCAGCATCCGAGACGGCACAAAAGAAGTTGGGCCGAGCTAGTACACAGAAAGTGTACACTTCCAAGGCTTTTTTGAAATTCCACTTAGACCTTCTGGAAAGAGATGAAAGGAGGCTAGAAAGACAGATCGTGAATTTCCTTGGGTACCCACAAGTGTGCAGCGCTCAGCTAGCCAGCCTCTTTGAAAGCTTCAAAAGGGTAGCTATGTCTTCGGATTTAGTCCTGATGTTGGTATTAGGAGAGATCCGCACCCAGCGGTTTTTGAGACTTTCCCGGCTGCCATATACGCGCAAATGGCCATCGTCTCGTTGGCTGGAGATGGGAGATAATGAAGGGCTAAGGGCTCCTCTTAGTGTATGATTGAATGAGGACTTGTGAGGGGTGGTACTGTTTGAGGGGAGCTGTATGGGAGGCATAGGAGGGGATATACTACTGGTATAGGTATCCTTGGCCTGTAGGTAGAGAGGACCTGCATGTCCTACATAGTCATAGACTCAGACAGGACAATAAAATGAATTAATAATGATAATAATAGTTTGGAAGCAGCAAGAGCGAAGCCACCTGGGCAGTAAGCATTGGTGTCCATGCCTTTAATTAGTTTAGTGGGTAGTAGGGACCTAAGCCAAGCCTGGCGCCCCGACGGACCAAAAAAAACAGTTTGAGCATCTTTACCGTCAAAAGAGGTATCCAACATGTACAAATAGCACTGACTACGTGCTAGCTAGATAGCTGCTGACACCTAAGTGATACAAATAAAGTAGATTTTATTAAAATATACGTACTCTGATCAATTGTATAACTTGATAAGAGACACTGCACGGCAAATGTAAGGCGTAGATGAATCAGTATTGAATTAATATCCCATATTAGTGATATGAGTTGGGTCTTATAGAAGTCCCCATCCACCAAACTGTGTTCCAATTATCTACTCTATTCTAAACGTGTCTCATTCCCTCGTATAACTGAGTAGCACTCTGTCAATGACTTGTGGTATCAAAGAATGACTACTTCTTCACTTGACAGATCGTCTCTACCAGTCGTCGCTTACATTACTCGGTGAGTGCTAACTGTCGCGTCTATTGTCCAGACAGTGCACGGCTCGTAACCAAGCGAGTCGTGTAATCCGATACTGGAGGCTCCACGTTCTATTTACTAGGACATGATCTGTTTCTCTGACAGATTTATCAATAAATCAAAATTTCATTTACAAGTTCACATGTGTGCTCCTCCACCCGCGATTAAGACGCGTCCTGACATCGAAATGGTCCTTAACGGGCCACAACAGCAACAGCAACAGCAAGCATAATCAAAATCTTCATAAATCGCAAAGTAGATCTGCGGAGTAGGCTTTAAGGTGGGCTCCAATGCTAACTCATTCAGCGGTCATTGCTGCGACAAACTTCATCGCCGAACAAGCCAGGATATTTGAGACGCGCTTTAATGAAGCAGAGCTCGTCCTTAGCAGGATTCGCAACCAGCTAGATTCAATAACAAACGAAAAACTTTGAAAGCTCATCAAATAGAATATAAGAGAACTCCAGGGCAGAATTAAGGAAATCCTGTGGGCCAACCTGTTACGGGTCCACAACTAATGTCGATCCCTCGCGTATTAGCGCGCTCTTGGCATATATGTAGAACGTGTTTTCCCCATGTGTTCAAGTTCAAATCATCATAGAGAATCTGAATAGACTACTTTCCCTCGTTTGATTGACTTGATCACGACCCGTTTCGTGACACAACCAGGCCAAACAAATACCACCATGTCACTATAGACTGTGAGTGGACACACTTCCAAACCTCCCGTGCGCGGTGTAAAGAATGTCATTGTATTAAAGTCGGGATTTGCAATTCAGGTAGAAATTGAAGAAGCTTGAAGCGCTCTCCTTTCAGGTGCTACGGTTACAAATAGCTCAGAAATAAAACTAGAAGCAGCATCCATTTGGATATCAACGCTTGTACCCAACATTCCTTCAAGGCTTTATGCCCTAGAGGAACATGTAGTGGTGGTTCGCCACAACTCACGTGAACCATCTCACGTGATATATTGTACATATAAAATTAGATAGAAACACACGATAAAATCTCCATGCTTCATCTCTACAGGTTATGGCCCTCATAATTCCACTGTAAATATAGCGTCAATTTATATTCTCATTTATCACGTGCTCCCGCCTTCGCGTGAATCATATTCTCGCAGCGATTCCCACACACAATGATGTCCAAATTATCACCTAGGCCCTCCTTAGAGGCAGAAGATAACGATTCTCATTCACTACACACAGAACAAGATATCACAATCGGAGATATTCAATTCGTAAACAGTGAAGATCTCAAGGAATCAATTAGAGAGTCAACTAAGAAAACCGAAATCTGGACGCTTACTGCACGTCTTGAAAGTATTGACAAAATGACTCCTATCCCGATTCTGAATGAGTCCAATTGGCAACAATGGCAACAGTCAATAAAAGACTTACTATCATTATCCCAAACCTCAGCGGCTTTCCTTAATAACCCTTATAGGGTAAAGCCTATCAGAATGTGGTCAAATTGGTGGGTGGCCAAACTTAGAGCGACAGCCCCTAATATACACACCGCGCCTTGTGACCCTCTTCGAGTTTTTCTTAATCAGATAGTACAAGTCTGCCATGCCAAATCCCACAATAATTCAATAAAAATAATTGCTCACTTCTGGGGTTTCAAACTAGATAAAGAATCATCTGTTGCGACGTTCATCAAGGAATATCAAAAACGATATCAAGCTCTTAGAAATCACTCTACCATAAAGTCCGAAGTTCGATTTCAAATGAAGCACATGCTCCTACATCGTCTCACCAGAATTAATTCAGAGTTAGCAAATCGCTGTCGCAAATTTCCGTTTGATGAAATTATTTCTGAATGTCTTGAATGGTCCTCATCTGAAAACCAAAAATCTGATGGCAAGTATCTCAGTAACCGTACAAAAATTAGATGCTCTTTCTATAATATTCAAGGTCATAAAGAAGAGGATTGTCGGAAGAAAAAGAAATCGCAAAGGGCAATCAGAAATGGGAAAGCACAAACAGATTCTCTCATTAGACAGAGTTATAAGTAATTCTAATTATCAGTTAGATACCGCCGTAGACTTCCACGTCTCGGGTAATAAATATGATTTTTCCTCCTAGATTTTCCCAAACTATACGTGTAGCTGGGGGGGCTTAGTACACACCACTGGAAGTGGCAGTTTACTACTCCCTACATCTGACAATAAACTTGACACACATCAGGGTGCAACATATATTCCCGGTGAGAAAACTAGAATTCTTTCCACAGCTCAACTTGAGCGGCAAGGTTATTCCATAGTCTGGCCACCTGAATATCAAGACGTTCTATTACTTCGCCAAGATAAAACAATTTGTGCAAAATTCACTCGCATATCAGGTCGTCTCATATGGAAGCCTTCCGGTAATATCAAAAGTGCACCTAAAGTATATTCCACTCAACGTGATTGGCATTCAGTACTTGGTCATCCAGGACAGAAAGCACCGGAAGCTACGTTAAAAATGGCTGGCATTAAAGGATATAAGTTTCCAATTAACTGCGAAACATGCGCAAAAATTAAAATCACTATTTGAAAAGGCCATGGGACACTTCAAAGCTCATCCGCCTTCGCTCAAGTCATACACATGGACCTAGTCGGCGGACAAAAAGCTCTCGCTGCAACAACTACCGATAAAACAGTCCTAATTGCGACTTGGTTTCTCCTTGCAGCCGATGAGCACACCTCCTACAAATGGTCGTGGCCAG